ATATTAACTCCTTTAATCTTTACAATCTATAAAATGGGGGCTTTCCAGAGGCCAAGAGAGACGAAGTAACTTGCCCAAGGTCATGAAGCTGTTCTAGGTAGAGCCCTGATTTGTACCCGGCAGACTGGCTCCACAGCGCATTCTTACAAACACATCAGAACATTTTGTGTGCCTCTCTGCCTTGCCCAAGAGCACCTGCAGAAACTATTACACATCTCTAACATCAGTTAGAACAGCACTCATTGCTGACTATCAAGTTAGAGAGAAAGATCTTTAATTATACCTGTTATTTCAAATATATGCTCTGAATATTTGAAGCACTTAACATTTCCAGATATCTAATTTTTCTTTTCTAACCACACAGTGAAATTGTTAAAGATAGCATAAAGGTACTATTGCTTCTTTACTATTCCTTAACCAAAAACACACAGCAAAGACAGAAAAAAAGGCACGCAAAAATCTCACGTAATTGTGACTGTCCCCAAACTCCATCTTCGTTTGCCTGAAAACAAAAAGCATCTGTGGCATATAAATTATTATACTCTTTGAAATGATAAAAGAGTAAAAATGCCTCACCAATTTGAACACCTATGATAAAGGACTACAAATCCAAACGGATTACATAGACAAAAACAATAAACTGGTCAAAGAATACAGTCAGCTACAAAATAGAATAAAGTGACCCAAATAAATAGTCCATTTAACCCCAGAGCCTGCAAGGGGCCTCAGAGGAACTGGTAGATTTCACCAGAACCAGAAGCCCCTGGCATGCCTCTCTGCCAATGCTGAGGCAACATCAGCTCTGTGCACTGAAGCTTTTCACCAGTTAAACTGACATAAGGTACACATTTATTTGTTGATTGTCACTTTCCCTGTTAGAATATAAGTTCATTGCAAGCAAGAACTTTGTCTTCTTCCTACCATACCACGCCCTCCTTTTTTAAGGACAGGGTCTCAAACATAACAGGTACATAATAAATATCTCTTAAATAGACGGATCATGTTGCCCAGAGAAAAAGAAAACAAGCAGTAATGCAAGGGGGCGCTGCTGAGCAGGGAGCAGTAGTACTGAGCACTTGCACTGGAGATCGTGGATACATTGGCTTGAAGTTGGCACTGTGTCTGAGGAGCTTTAAAGATATGCTTTTCTACCCCATAGTCAGCAACCATATTTCTAGGCTTCTTTCTGATTTGAAAAAAAAAATGCGATATTAAATATTCTTTTACCAAGTGGCGCCCAACAATATTCTTAAAAGTAATTTAAAACAACCTAAACCTCCAAAAGGAACAAAGGAGTAAAGGAAGCGATGGAACATCCACACAATACAATTGTTAATGACAGGGAAAAAAAGGCTCAAAATATACCATAAAACAAAAAGAAGAGAAAATAAAGCTTTACACACACTGCAACACCAGTTATGCCCGCACAGGCACAGGTGTACAGAAAAGAGACTCAGAAGAAATAGACCATTAATATTCATGGTTGTTTTCTCAGGCTGTGGGAATAATCATGTGGGGATAAATTGCTTTTGTCTTCATGCATATGGGTATTTTTCAAACATTCCACGATTTACCCAAAACAATTTTTTAAAAAACATTTTAATTGTATCTTCCTTCACTTGAGACAAAGAAATGATCCCAACTAAGGCAAAAGGTTAGTGTACAAAATGTTCCCTTTCCTTCTCATGGATAAAAATATTTGTTTCAAGTTTATCGATTTTGAGTTCCCAGAAATAAGCACTGGAGCAACTGGATGGTAAAACACTTTCAATTTTAGCACACACTGATTGATACATTAAGCAGTACTTTTCAAACTTGCACTTTGCTACAGTTGGGTTTTTTGTTTTTGTTTTTGTTTTTTTTTTCCCAAATGAAGCCTTAAATAGAATAGCAACATATAAAATGGAAACATTAATGGTCTATTCAAAGGTGGGGTCAGCACCCAGAGTGTAGAGGCTGTCAATCTTCTGTCCCTGCAAGGACAGCCTCAGGGACCTGTGAGCTCCTGGAAGAGAACTCAGCAGCCACCACACTGGAAGCTCTGCAAATAAAAATCTTTTCTACAACAACAACAAATTCTGCCCAGGTCCTTGAAAGCTTATGCTAAGGTCCTCTCCCCCACTCCCTACCCCCACAGGTGATGAATAATCATGTGTTGCAGATTCTGAGGGACAGCTTCTGTGCTTGTGAGTAACAGCTACACAAAATCCTGTGTGATCATGATTGTGAGGCTTTTTGAATCTATGCACGATAACGTTAAAATTTCACAGCACCTAAGGAATGCAAAGATACTAAGCCCTAGTCGATCAAGGATTCTTTGACACTTGCTTAATGTTTTTGTTTAATACCATGACTGTTGTGATGACAGCATACTCGAGGTAATGCAGTCCAGGTTAGCTGGATTTGCATTACATGGATGACTGATATTAGGCTAGTTGTCTCAAAATCCAACATCCAGGCTTGTTCTCCACACCTCAGGGGAGTGGTATCTAAACTGTGTTCCCTGGATCCTTTGCTCCCTTGGGGTACCTGGGAACCACTGCAGGGGAGTTGGAGGAAAAGGGGGTATGAAAAGACCTGCTCTGCTTCTCCTCGATTTTGGTGAAGACAGTTTTATTCTTCATCTGTCTTACATATTGGCACTTCGTACAATATTTGATTTGAAAAGAGGGCACCACTGATAATATTTGGAATTTGAAAATGACCACATACAGAGGTGTCTTTCTGATGCATTACCACCCACTAGGACCTGCCCTTGGAGGGAGGTACAGGTAATTCCATGATCCAGAAATCACCCCTGCTAACATGTGAGTATATAACAGTCAAGCTTATTTCCTTTGCAACCTTTTCAAAAATATATAAATAGACCTCGAGAACATTGTGCTAAGTGAAATATAACTCAAAGAGAGACAAATACTGTGTGATCTCACTTATATGTAGAAACTAAAAACACTGAACTCAAAGACACAAAGAATAGAATGGTGGTTGCCAGGAGCTGAGGGTAATGGGGAGACGCTGGTCAAAGAGTACAAACTTTCAATTATAAGATAGTAAGTTCGGGGGATCTGAGGTACTGCATGGTGACTACAGTTAACAATGGTGTATCACATACTTAAAAGTTGCTATGAGAATAGGGCTTTGATATTTTCACCTTAACAACAGCTAAATGGTAATTATGTGAGGCAAAGAATGCATTAATTAACCTTATTATAGCAAACATTTTGCAACAAATTCACATATCCCATTATCAGACCTTAAACTTGTATAATGTTTATGTCAATTATATCTCAATAAAGCCAGAGAAAATACATCATTTTCTATAATTTTTATAAAACTTTTTAATAAAACTATATGTACTTTTAGTTTTGCTTTCCAGTTAATAATATATTTTGGGTATATTTTCACACCATTAAATATAAATCAACATCATTCTCAATCTACAGAATTTCACTGCAAATGTCTATCATAAATCTGTCTGCTCTTAAAATAATTTTCTAACCCACTGAGCAGGCAGGCAAAGTATTTTGCTGGGTCATGAAGAGAAAGCCCTTCCCAAGACCTGAAATCATGATCTGGAGTTAGTTACCAGATCTGACGCCACACAAAGCTAGGTCTGACAGCTGAGGAATGACCCATTAAATACAAAGCCATGTGCAGTTATAATGAACAGGTATCTCTGATCTGTAGTCAGTGTCATAGCAATTTAACAACCCCAGTTAAATGGTGAAATCTTTCACTGTTTCTTTAGGAAGAGCTTGTCTGGACTATTCTTATCGAATTCTATGCTTCCTAACACCGAATGAGGGGCCAGGTAGAGAGGACCCTGAATGTACTTCCAAAGTATGATTCTCTTGGTGCTCCACCCCCTAAGATTCCTGAAATCTCTTCCTGTCTTTCAAGCCTGTATTGAAACTGTCTTTCTGGCAGTTTCTTAATGCAACACACATGTGGGAAGGACAGTCCCTGATACAAACTGCTTTAGCACTGAGTCATGGTGTTTTTAAGTTCCATTCAACATGACCGTGAACCAAGCATACTTCAATAGCCACCAGAAAGCTCTTTTTTTCTAAGATGACATTCCCAGGAAAATTTCTCTGGACATAAGATCCAAGCTCCTCCAAGAGGATTGGTTTAACGAATGATGATGTGGGGGTATTTTAAGCGAAAATGTGTAAAGCAAGGGCTAGAAGAGCTATGCCTCTACCACTCCCAGCCACCTTCAGTCACTGTGAATTCATTTATCAAACAAACATGTCACTTTCTAACTTGAAACTTTGCAATGGCACCCAGGAGCACGCACAAAGAAAAGCAGATATGAGAGCTAGAAGGCAAGAAAGAGCTCTCGGTTCAAGACACAAAAGAAAAGCTAGTATGGAAAAGGAAAAGGTCAAAGATGAGACAGGATTTAGGCAGGAACCAAATCATCTAGGCTTCTAGAACATGGTAAGAACACTGGTATTATTTCAAGTGGGCTGGGAAACCATTTTGTGAGTTTAATCAAGTGACAAACAGTCTGACAAATATCTTGAACTGTGATGTCAGCTTCCTTGTAAAGAATGACTTGAAGAAATGTGCCAGGTTTTCACATTAGGACCACAGAAGCGAAGGACCACAGGCTCTATCCTGGCTGCCCCATTGGCTTTGCAATACTCCTCAGTCCTTCTCTTTGCCCTAGGAACTTGTCTTTTAAATGTACACCATTGGTTTCCAAATGGAATGAGTTCCCAAGTGAGATCACATCAGCACAAAATCATTCCTCATTTCTAAAGCACCCAAGAATGCAACAAACCTCGAGAATATAATAACCACTCATGCATACAAAAAGTATTTATAAAGTACCTATAAGCCAGGAATCAGATGATAACTAAAATGTACATGTGGATGTTTTATAGAACTTATTAAGGAAATTAAGATACTATGATATCCAAGGTGATTTTTGCTGACGTTGTAGTTCAATGGGTAATATCAAGGAGATTCTGCATACTCTCACCTTGGTCAGCAACAAGGCTTTCTCTTCATGCCATCCTCAGTGTGGCTAGCCTCCGAAAGGGGGTTGTCCTAGCATGAGTCAGATGGGAACCTAGGAAGAGACTGGGCAGAAAACAATGTGGGCAAATGCAGCTAGACCAAAGGCGATCAGAGGTTCTTAAGGATAAAGATAACTGTGTACCCACACTTCCGTGCAGCTTCCTGGCATTAATTCTGGAACATCCAAATTCTTGGAGGGCAAGGGGTGGGGGGACTCTTCACAAGTATCCCACTTGTCATTACTTCTCCTTCCCATACATCACATCTTCTTCAGGATTAGGAAACTCTACTTAAAGAATGCACCAAAATGGTTCTGTCCCATTCTTGGACAACACCTTCTTTGCAGTCTGATAGTCACATGTGATGCCCACCTAGTCCACCGAGGACAACTCAGTTCTGTATGTGAAGGAACAGACTCCAAGGAGGTTCTCTGGATAGCAGTTGGCATGGAAACATCCTAATTAATATTGATCCTATCACACTAGAATCAAAATCAAGTATAGCAATAAAGGCACAAGGGCCTCTATGTCAGTCTGGATCATCTGTATTTTTGTGTCTTAGAAGATAAGGGATAAGAAAGTGCTCTTCCACTGCTTTCTCTGGATATAACTTGATCTCTGTTCCTGCCACCTTTGGCCCCTTGATCTAGGGCACCAGCTTCTACAACTGAAGCACCAGATTCTACAGAGCCCAGTGGCTATAAAAGTTTTCAGAATTAACCCTTCAGGTATCAGTTATCACTTCAAAACCAACACCATTCTCAGCTCCAAAGGAAGGTATGCAGTCTCCTGATCAGATGGAGGGGTAAGGCCACTAGAATGCCAAAAACAGGTAAATCACATGTGTTCTCCAGGCACAATCGAGAGTGACAGACAAGGTCCCCAGTTCTCTAAGGAGCTTGTATTTTGGTGAAGAACAGGGAGGGATGTTAAGCAAAGAAGCTAAAAACTACACATTAATTAAAAAATAAACATAGGAAGCCAAAAATGAACACAAGAATTTCACAAACTGTTATGAAAACAATAAACCAGGGTAATGGGATAGAAACCAACATGGTGGGGCAAGGGAGGTGTGGATACTACTTCAAAAAGAAGGATGTACCTGTTTCCTAAAACCACTGTAACAATGTCCCAAATGCTGGGGCATCTGAAATAACAGAAATGTATTCTTTCACAGTTCTGGAGGCCAGAGGTTAAAAACAAAGTATTGGTGGGGTCATGTTCCTTCTACAACCTCTAGCAGAGGTTCCTTTCTTACCTTTTCCAACTTCTGGTAGCCCCAAGCATTTCTTGGCTTGAGCATTTTTTGAGAGTGTAACTTCCATATCTGCCTCCATCTTCACACAGTTATCCTCCCTGTGTGCATCTCTGCCCAGATTTCCCTTGTCTTACAAAAAGACACCCGTCATTGGATCAGGCCCAACCTTAATGAACTCATCTCAATTTGATGACATCTATAAAGACCTTATTTCTAAATGAAGTTACATTCAAAGGAACTGGAGGTTAGGACTTTGATGTACCTTCAGAGGGCACTGGTAGTGGAGGGTGTGGGCGGGGCCACAATTCCACTGATAATAAACTGAGAGAGAAAAGCTCTTTGCAGGAGTGACATTTGAGGTAAATTCTACAATGATGGTGGGTCGTTGGTCTGGCTGTTTTTAAGGTGAAAATTTTCCTAAGCTGAGAGAACAGAGAGTACACTGGCCCCCACCTCAAGGCAGCTGCTTAGACAATTTCTCAAGAGAAAGAATAATTATGATGTAATAAGTTTTGGGAAGGAAGAAATAAAAGTGCTAAGAAAATAATCATGAACACAGGAAACCACTATTCAGGTCCCTATGGCAACATTCCTTGTGACTATGAAGAAGCACAAATACAGCAACAAGAAATACTCAGGGAATGGTACAGAGAACCACACAGCATGCCTATTCCTCAGCCATCTAAATGGAGGTTTATAAAAACGATCCAGAAAAATGGAGAAATGCTTACATGTGAAATCAGAAAGTACAGTATATTTTTTTAAATTATGCAAACACATACGTACCTAAAAGACTATCAGAACTGCCACCCCCATGAAAACACTGTGATGTTAAGGTATTTAAATTATGGGTTTTATACTCTTAGCTCATTTGTGGGTGTTTGGATTAACATCATTCTTCACAATAAAAACTAATTTTGTAGGGAAAAAATTACATTTCAAAAAAATTGTTGTGTATTATGTAAATATCACAATCATGTATTTACTATAAGAATGACTTAATTACAGGGTCTTTCTGTATTTACTTCTGGTTTATTTTCCAAGGAATCGAGTATTTTGGATACAGTTGAAGTCCTCTGTGGAGAGGTGATGTTTTAAAACCAAGAATGCAAGGCAAAGAAAAATTTGTCACAATATTCTTAAAACAACAGGGCCTGGTGAAAGGAATGTAGCTGTCATCAAGCACTGAAACAGAGAGAGAGGCTTCCACTGCTGTCAAAATCATGTCTTGACGGGAACAGCTACTGGTTCCCAACAGAACCAATAAAATGGCTTTAGCTCTACCATGAGAAAATTTAGATACTACTCCATTTCCCACATTTTAAAAAGTACTGCATGCTCACAAAATGACTGGGCTGTGTAAGTGTTCTTAGAAGGGAGAGTAGAGATTAATAAAAAGCTGGGGACAGGCTGAAAGACAGGCCAGTGCACAGTCACGTGTGTGGCTCAGTAGCCTCACCAATGAAACATAATGGTTGCATGGGGGTGGGAAGGGGAACGTCTCTCTCCATCTGTACAAAAACATGCCATTTTAAAGTATCCCATTTTCTAATGTGCCCCTCGAAAATTTCAGTGGAAAAAAAAATAAGTTAGTTTCATCTGGTGATATCATACAATATATCTAACATGGAGAGGAGGTAAATTTTAGCATCACCAAGACTTTTAAATTCCCAATCATAAAATGAGAAAGGTTGGATCCCCTGCCTGTGTTACCAAACCTAAGTACTTGTACTTCCATAAAGTTAGCACTCAAGCAAAGCAACAATTGTTTTTATTTTGTTACTTTTCTAAGCATGGTTCAGCTGACACTCTGCACTTTGAAGCCCATTTTATAAAAAATTAAAATAAATAAAAAATAAAAAATAAAACTCACAATAAATCAAAATAACCAGATGTTTCCAAAGGCAGGGGGTGGGGGGAGGGAGGGAAGCACTGCAAACTTGTTTTAGTGTCCCAGCTCACTCACTATTTAATTGGCCTCAGGCAAGTCACAGGCTCCTTCAGCCTTGGGTTACTTCATTTGGAAATTAGAGATAATCATGCCCACTTAGCATGTTGGGAGAATCAAAGAGAACACAGTATCTGACATTGTTCTGTAAACAATAAAGTGTTTTAATAATATTATAAAATAATATATATAAAATATATAATATATATCTGTATGTATATTATTTATAATATAGTTAATATTATATAAGTATTATATAATATATAATATGATATTAAAGAATATAAAATAATAATAAAATAATCGTATCACCCTCTAAAGATGGCGATTACTATCAGGCAATGGGATAACCCTACCAGGTTGTCTCCCCAAACCCTTAAAATTTATTTTAAGGCATTACATATGGAAAATTATATTGCCCTTCTCTCTTCAAGTTTTTACTTCCCAGAAAGTTAAGGTCTTACCACCTGTTTCATACCACTGTAGGACCAACTATCAAATAGCAGGAACCCAAATATCTTCAAAGTCTTTACTCGGCTGTACTGTAATTTGCTCAATTATTTAACCTTCTGGAAATGAGAAAGTACTGAGAAAGACTTTCCATATTCAAATCTTAATAGACTTCCCTTCAATCTCTTTAGCCAAAAAAGCCAAAGCAAGGATTTTTATTTTCAGAGGCAAATGTTGTAAAAGTTGGACCAAGAAAGACCTCTTAAAAACTGAATATTTTCCTCTGAACAGACATAGGATTTTAAAGTGAAAGAAACACCTTCAGATGGGTTGGGGGGGGGGTTGTTTGGTTTTTTTTGTTTGTTTGTTTGGTTGGTTGGTTGGTTTTTGTTTTTGTTTTTGTTTTTAACAGCAAGCTTGTATGATTACCTAGTTGTTCCAACATGAATTCTTTGGGTTGGTACAATTTTGGAGATTTTCTTTGTGCAATGAGAGTCATTTAAAAATTTGTGCAACATTAAGCTCTACATTTTTATCATGGCAAATCATTCTTCATACTCAACAACGCAGTCAGGAATGACTTGTGACTATTTCCAGTAATTTAATTCACCTGCAAAGGTTGACAATTTGCCACCCTTGTCAGTGTTCAAAGAATATGCCGCAGACTCCAGATATATTACCCTAAGAGAAATTGCAAAAATATATTGCTCAAGATCAGCATCTTTAGAAAAAGTGATTACTTGCTGACAACACTGAAGAGAAGCTCACAATTGGATATATGAGTTCTAAATGTGTTTATTAAATATTGATCACAGCAACAATTCTAAAATCCTGTTTTTGCAAATAACTTACAGAGAATGCTTACAATAGTACAGGAAAAGGAAAACAGAATAAAAACTGTATTTGTTCTTTGAGATAACCATTATTTATTGAGCCCCTGAGTACTAGGCACTGTTGTAGATGCTGAGGACCCAGCAGTGAACGAGTTTATCATAATGTATCAGTTATGTTTAAAAGCAAGGAGAGTGATAAATTGTTCACATTTGACACAATGTTCCAGGTTCTGTGTTGAGCACTTAAGTAATTTATCTTCTGTTCTGTGTTATTACCACAAGAAAAGTGCCATTATACCAATTTTACAGGTAAGGAAATTGAGGCATTGATTAAATAACCGACCAATGTTATAGAAGCAGAGGGGCAGAGCAGATCTGGAATCTCTTTCTTTTCATCCAACTCTGCATTTCACTCTGCTGCTCCCACACAATACACTGTCCTGCTATTATCTGCTTTACCCACTCCCCGCAAATCCAAAATAACCCCGAAGCCTTTACCACCTGAGCAAAACTGGGACACACCTGAGAATAGCAAGATCCAAACTTGTCTCCTAAAAATTCCATCAATGTTGAAT